TTTGGCCACTATATCTGACTTTTGACCATTTTGAACACTTGATATATATGGTCTTTGGGGAGCACCTAATTGTGGGAAATCCGCTTGATTGTGATGATAATTAGGGTTTGAAACTGTTGATGTTGAAGCATGTGCGGCTGTAGATAAGAGACGACGTGTCAAATCAGCACGAAATTGCTTTACTTTAATACATTTCATATCATTACTCATATGACCTCCTCCACAGTGGATACATCGAGGTATTTGTGTGCGGACAATAAAATGTTGTTTAATATCATCACACATTTGTCCACATTTTTTACACGTCTCTTTGTTCTGTTGGCACTGGCGACGAAAGTGCCCTATACCACAGCATTTACTGCAAATTAGCACTCTGGCTTGAGCTAAGTATTCTTCTACTGGAAATGTCAGCGAGCTAACAAACACTTTGCCACAATGTAATAGATCTTCTCTTTCTTGTGGACAACTAAATTCCAGTTTAACCAGTTTTGTATCTTGTTGTTCTTTATTTTTTATTCTTATTATATTCATCAAACTGGTGAACTTTGTTTTCAATTCTAATATAAAATTATCAAAATCTATTGCCAGACCGACACCTTTGACCATCAGTGATAACTGTGGTGGAATCGATGTTGGATATGGACGTGTAAAAGATGATCCCAAAAGTGTAGTCGGCCAATTATTGTCATCGTAAAGAAATGAAAATGAGAGACTGTCCTTGACGAACAACAATATATCTGATTCATTTAATCCACATTTTAATTTTGAACGACGATATCCAATCAATTCTAAGTGTATTTGTTTGTTATCATTTAAATACTTGCACAGTTCTTCTGCCACCTTCTGTTCCTTGACATTTACCAGAGGAAAACGCAGAATAAATGGGGGGAATGGATATCGAGTCTGAGCAAATCGTTCTGCTTCTGGTGTCAATAAATCATTGTTATTTGTGGACAGACTAGCTGCCGTTGTTATTTGCTGCTGATGACCTGTAGTCGAATCGAGCTGATCAGTTGACAATGTCATTACTTTCTGACCACTAACAATTGATCTTAAATTATGATTATGACTGTGTTGTCTTGGTCGTTTATGAGTATTCTGTACAATTTTAACACTAGGATCATTATTGAAGTCTTCATGCTCCGATATTTCATCATCCGTAGATGGATGTGCTCTACGTGGAGAATTAACTGCCATTAGATTATTAACATGTGGTGCTGATACATTTGTTTTATAATAGTTTGAATGATCTAGTGCAGGATTCCAACAATAATGACCTTGATGACCTTGATGAACTTGATAACCTTGATTATCATAACTTGATTTCTGTTTCTGTTGGTGTTGGTGTTGATGTTGAGACGCCACAGGCGGTCGTCTACTCATCTTGATAGTCAAATTATTCTTCAATTCTTGAGTTAATTAGATAATTTAGTCAAAGAATTAAAGGACTTAGACTTTATACTTATACAGTGTTATGTAATATTATGTAAGGAAGAAAAAAAAATACGTGTGTACGCTAGCTTGTAAAAGAAGGAATGTGTTATGTATCAGATATTCAAATGTACATAAGATATATTGAAATTATTCCACTATACCCTTTTATATGTACTTATAGATGAATCTATATAAAAAGAAATCATCAAAATAGTGTATTTTTTTTCGTGAGATCAAAACAAATGTTATCGTTCATAATTAGTGAATTTTCTGCTTGTAGAAGTGACACATCTGATTTAAGTTTATTATCGTGACATTTATCGATTTGTAAAATAGATAATAATATCGAATGGTCTCTTCGAAAAGATTTATCTTGAAACATTTGGATTGTTTCTATAATGAAACTTGTTTTCGATTTTATCACGAGTATGATTAATAGATACGATTACTTTATGAAAAGATCTTAACGCATTCGGTATAATTTCGACATAATTATACGATAAGAAACTGTTCTATGTAAAATTTTCTTTAAAAAATCTATTATTTCTACCTCGTGAATAGAAGAATAGTTTGAATAAAGAAAAGAATACTGACGTGGAATCTGGTGTAGATAAATGAAAGAAAACTGTTTCATAATGAAGTTAAATAATACAAGCGATGCATTTTTTATTGTTGTGTTAATCCATTTTAGCCGAGTTATTCCCATTAATAAACATCAGGCTTCAAATCTACGTCGTCTTAATTTAAATTGGAATGGACGTATCAATACTGTGGACTCAATTAATAAGTTATTCGAGCGTGATGTTTTATTTTCATTGACGAACTTCAAATTATGGGCGAGGATGGCTGGTCCCCATGTTCTTCATCATTTACTATCAATGCTTTCCAGTCAATGTTTATATTCGTTTAATGTTAAATGGTATGTGCAAAGTGTTGTGTCATTATCGGACACAAGCAAAATCTTATCCGACACGTTTCAACAGCTCAAAGGACCGGTGTCAATTGAATTACAATTAACTTTGGAAGAAAACATCTATTATGTTAGAGCTGTAACAGTACCAAGAATGGATAAACATATATGTGTATATTCTTATCTAGATAATGCTGTGCATAGGTATGAATAGACAGTTGTTTTTTTTGTATAGGAAACTTTTTTTTTTTGGATTTAGTGGAAGTCGGTGGCCATATAATAGACGTGTCTTCAACAGTCAATTTTTACGCTGCAATGAGATTATTATGCGTGAGAATGATGATCAAGTCAACGGTGAATTTCTTTGTTTATCACCATCTATTGTTTTTTGGAATAAAATTACATCGCTTAATATTCCTCTACCATTGAATTCAACTTATCTTCATTTTCTCTTTTCACAAACGACTAATCTACGTAGTCTAGAACTGCATTATAAGTCATATGGTCCAGATAATTTTGTTTTCGAAGATGAAACTTTAATCGATTTCCTTACAGATGTTTCTTTGTGCAATATGCTCATGTCACATGGCTTACGACAACTCAATATTTTTACCGCTTGGACACAACCAAATTTGATAAACATTGCTTATTTAATCGTCGAACGACTGTCGCATTTGCAAGTAATAGAACTACGTGGTATTGACGATGAACTGATTGAAATGTCACATATACTTATCAACGGTCTTGAGAAATTAAATTTTTTCAGTTTTCATGGTGTACTTGGACATGGTAAACGTCATGAGAAAGAATTACGTAATCTACAAAATTCAAATACTCGTTCTTTTAGGACAGAAGTTCCTAACACAATAGATGCAGATACATTTGTCGTATGGTTATAATAAAATGAAACAGGAATAATTTGTTTTTCTCTATTCTACCTAAACTTGTAAAAGAATCGAAAGAATTTTTCAATAAAAATATATTGTATGTGTTAAATGAGATGAAAATCTTTTTTAATTGTTTATTTGTTATAAGGACGAGAGTCGATAAGGGCATTTTTTTCTCCAAAATATTTTCGAAGAAAAAAGTACATCACATTTTTTTGCTTTCATTTTGACTCAAATACATACCACAATATAGATTTGATGGTGATGATCACGAATATCATATTGGTTTTTGTCCAAATCATTCCAATGAGTGAGGAAAGGAAGTTTTCAAAAAATTTCCTATTCCTTGTTTTTGCTCGCCTATTGATCTTATATAATGTTGTAACTGTTTGAAAACAAATGTGAAATGGGTATTCAAGTATGCTGCATCTAATGATGCAGAAATTAACATATCTCAGTATGTAAAACAGCTCACAGAACCAGATTGCCAATGAAAACTCTAGTCAATTGATGTATGCAACTCCTTTTTTAAAGTTATATAACTTGCCTATTTCATTCGGTTGTCTTCTAAAAGTGATATATACTTATATATCACTTTTACGATAATAATTCGTAGGAATAGCTATGTTATGTTCTGTCGTCTAGCTTTCGATCAAAAAAGTACATTTTTCACTTTAGACTTTATCTCAAGGGGGAAACAGTGGACTTCAAGTAGACAAAGTACGTCAAAGTACTTCGAAGTAGCTCGAAGTTTCGAGAAAGTACTTTAAATTACCCTAAAGTATCTATAAAGTACTTTGAATTATGAGAAAGTAGCACATTTGGCACGATTTGATTCTATAGATCGTCGATGTGACTCAATGCTGGTTTGTATCGCTGCAGATGTGTTTAAAACTTTTTGATGTCACTGTTAGACACCCCTCAGTTTACGATCTATCGCCTACAAAAATCAGCTTCTAAAATCCATCTGTCGAATTTTAACAATTTTTCTTGTCGAAATTAACCGTGTTTTGGGGTTAAAACTATATGCACATTGATATTTCTCCTGCCTCATCCTATTTCTATTCTTGCATAAATTCTTTTTGACCTACACCATTCGCTAGAAAAAAGAATGCGCTACATGATGAGGTACTTTTCATCGAAAACACACTTCGGAAAAAGGGCTGAGTTTTAACAGGTGCGTATATGCTATCCAGACCTTTAGTAAATCCTGTTTTTCTGCACCAAAAGAAGATCGAAATTAAATTTCAAATATATCACTAAAAAGAGCATTTAAAACGGCACAAGATAGACTATTCGATTGGTTTTTAAAAAGGATATGTTACATTGAAGGCGATTAAATTCCATAGATTAATTAGGTTGCGACCCACCGGTGGATCCCATCGTGCCGAATGTGGTAGGTTAGAGTATCTCTCAAATATCTAAAATGCATGGAAAAAGATTGCATCGAGTTTAATAAAATATGGCAAAAGCTTTATTCACCCATAGAGAGACGAGTGGCGCATTGGCATCACAAGGGGAAGTAATGAAGATTCATTGCTTCCTCAAGTTGTTCGTGCTTCTTTGGCAAAGTAGAGTAAAAGTACATAACTCAACATAAATTCTAACAGTTTTAAGCTTTAAATAGAAAGATTGATCGATTTGTCTTTGTCTTATGAACGTTTTATTGCAATCTTTCAGTTTCGTAATTAAATGATGCTATTATTTGTACAACTACATATAGTATAATAGTAAGTTTTCTGAGATAGCTCCGAAAAAAGTGTCAGAATATTTTGTATTATACATGTCACACCACATTCCATGCATATTCATTTTTCTATATTTTCCAAACGTCTGATTCTGATTGTCATATAACGAAAATTTCTGTTAGTGTGCTCCGATTCGTAGTTGTCAAAGCAAGAGTCTATTCATAAAGAAGAAAAAATAACTTTAACAGTTAACAGTAACAGTTCAATAGACTATCTAGATGCTAAGTTCATCACATATATAATCGCTTCTTACGTCTATGAGTTCTTCAAAAAGACAGACACGTAAAAATGTCTGACAAATTTTAAATTAGCATCACGTTGGAAACTGAAGGATCATTGAGAGACAGACGCTGATAAAAACTCGAAGTCGTTTGCAATATGATTTGAATAAATTTTACTAAAAAACCTTAATACTGCTGTAAAGCTTCTGATATGTTGTCGATATCAGATGCATAATTATTCAACCCTGTAATACTACGTCCGTCACAAATCGGGTATTTAAATAGCTTTCTAACACTTGGATTGCTCCTTATAGGGGGAGG